GACGCCTACATCACTACCAGTATTATTGTTAGGGCTCCTTATTCTAATATACCACAAAGGAGCCTAAATAATTACCAGTACTATTGTTAGGGTTCCTTATTCTAAATTTAGCATAAAGGAGCCCAGAACTCTATTCTAATTATCAAGGCCCCCTAGACCCTAAACCCTAAACCCTAAACCCTAAACCGGCCCCTACCTTAACTGTAACAGCCAGGCCTACCACGTCCACCAGAGCCGGGCACTGATCCTCTCTCTGCTGCCGAGCGTGCAGCCGCCCTTGGCCGGGCACCCCATGGTCGTTTAGGGTTTAGGGTTTAGTGTCCTTAAAGGGTTACTGCCTGCATGGGGTATACTACGGGTTACTCGAAGCTTTGTGCACGGCTTACTGCACTGATCTGTAGACCCTAAACCCTAAACCCTACATCATGTTCGGTTTAGGCTTTGGGACTTTAGGCTCTAGGGCTTTTGGTGTCCAGAGGTTTTCGAGGTTCGGAGGTTTGCGGTTTCGTGTATTTGGGTTCATTAGGGAGTTTTCGGGTTTCGGGATTAGGAGGTTTGGGGTCTAGGGTTTAGGGGGTTTAGGGTTTCGGGATTAGGAGGTTTGGGGTTTAGGGTTTAAGGGGTTTAGGGTTTCGGGATTAGGAGGTTTGGGGTTTAGGGTTTAGATTCAGTATAGGGTTGATTAGGGGCTACTATGCGGGCTAGAAGCGTTCAGGGCGGGTTCTCTACGCACCACTCAGGCACCATGCGCGTTTGCGCTTCGGTGGTTTTTACCTCTGCGGCAGAGGTATATCGACAGCTAGTAAAACTCATGAACAAGTAGGCAAATCAACAACACTTAGACTGGTAAGTCAATGAATGAAGAAGCAACTAAGTCGATACGTAAATTTCTGTGTCGTTACTAATTACTTTGGTTGGGTTGTTGTTCGTTGATTTCCTCTGCTGTTTTGGCCCTATTAATGGGGCTAGCAGCATCGGGTTTGCCGTTTGAAGGAGCCGGATTTGGACGACTTGGGCTGTGATCGGTTGGGTTTCAGCAGTTCTCACCATGAAGTCTTCCTTGCGTGATTGAAATTTGGGGTTTTGGGTTTAGGGGTGTAGGGTTTAGGGTTTAGGGTTGAGCTTTGGTTTAGGCTCATGCTCAGGTGTTTAATGGGTTTAAAGTTTAAAGTCAGGGTTTAGATGTTCAGGGGTTTTTAGTCTCAGTAGGTTTTAGGATTCAGGGATTAGGCCACAGCCAGCCGAGACATCTCAAAGCGTCATTCGGTGCGTGATACTGAATGCTAAACATGGGGCTGGCGGATTGAGTTTGCTGTCCTCGTTTCGGTGTGTAAAAAGCCATAACTTAGCATTGTAGTTCGTACGTAATTACCACGAGTGAAACTTACCTCGGACCCCCAAACAGCCCAAAGCAGGTCCTATTTGTACCTATAGTCTCCATTGTAGTTCCTTTTGCGCGTTGCCTTTTAGGATCCTTAATATAGAACGCTTAAACCAAAGAAAGGAACTACAATGGAGACTCTAGGTAGATTGCAGACCCCAAAGTTCCCAAGATCTGCGCCAACTTCTCCGACCGCAGTGTCTGGATCTCTGAGGCATCGGATGATTGAGCTTTCCCGTTCTGTTTCGGATTCATTTCCGGGGCTTTGTGACGTCTGCAGCTTGCATGTAGCAGGGACACAGAAGGATTGGAAGACCCTTTGCAAACCCTACAAAACACACTGAAGCCCCGGAAGCTCATACATTCCAAACTAAACTCTGCAGGCCCTGGAAGATGTAATCAAAATGATACCGGCAAGGCAATAAATAGGCGAGCCGGTAGAACCAGTTAGTATTGGCTAGTAGTACTGGCAACACAACACATGTGCATGTGTATGTATGCATGCATGTATGTATGTATGTATGTATGTATGTATGTATGTATCTATGTATTTACACTTCTATTGATGTGCATGTGCATATATATATATATATACATATGTATACATAAACATGTTCATAGACCTGCAGAGATACCTAATTATGAGTTGAGGTGCGGGGTTTCATTGCGGAAGGCCGAGGTCACGACAGCTCCAAGGCTTTGACGGTTTGGGCCCGGCCTTTGCCTATCTGAGAGTCTGGATACCACAAAAATCTGAAGGGGCCTAAATATAATTTCAATTACTATTTTGGGGGGTTCCTTATTATACATCTTATAAGAATCTTATATGTACAGTATAATACTTAACCCGAAGCCCTATTCAAATTATATTAAGGCCCTATATTTCCACAAAATCCTACTCTAATTACGGAGGGCCCCCATACCAGCCCTAGGTCTTATGACCCCGACTCAATACTGATAACACGACGCTTCTTATATACGAAGCCTAGACTGCTTAAGGACCCGAGATTCGGTGCTGGAGCGCTTATACCCTAAAGGTTTTCGGAGTTCAAGCTACAGCATCATACCTGAAGAACCCTGAAACTCCACTCAGAGCCTCAACCCCCCCGAACAATCCCAACGCATCATGAACATAGAACCCCCGCCCTCTAAAAACGGTTACAAAGCCTGCAAACTTACCAAGCATATATAAAAGTTGGAAAGGGTCTTCTACACCTACAAAGCCTTTGAGGAAAACTGGCTAATGACGAGTAGCTCTTGAACGTAGATTTCATAAAGCCTCGTCATTTCAACCTTCGCGAGTGACAAGCAACGATAACTTCAAGCACCACTTTATACAATCCTCAGAACTCCCGAGAGGCCCAACCCCCTCAACCCCAAACCCTAATGTAGGGGCCTGCATAAATAGAATAGGGTTTGGGGGTATATTATACTATAAATACACCAGGATCCCCACTACCCCATTCAGGGGGTATATTATACTATAATTAAAATAAGGAGCCCCAAACCCCATTCTCATTCTTAAAGGGGGTATATTATACTATAATTATAATAAGGACTCCCCTCCAAAACCCAATTCTCATTATTAAGGGGCTATATTAGACTATAATTATACTAAGGACTCCCCAAAACCCTACTCTCATTATTAAGGGTAGTATATTAGACTATAATTATACTAAGTACTCCCCAAAGCCCTACTGTCATTATTGAGGGGTTATATTAGACTATAATTCTATTAAGGGCTCCCCAAAACCCCATTCTCATTCTTAAGGGGGGTATATTAGACTATAATTATAACAAGGAACCCCAAAACACCATTCTCATTCTTAAGGGGGGTATATTAGACTACAATTATACTGAGGACTCCCCAAACCCCACTCTCATTCTTAAGGGGGGGTATATTATACTGTAATTATACTAAGGAATCCCAAAACCCCACTCTCCTTCTTAAGGCCCCGACATTTAGAGGCCTGGCAGGGGGCAAACTCCACTCCGCGAAGCTTCGTGCGTCTGGCTGCAGCCCTAGGCGTTTTTTTTTTTTTGTTGGGGGGGGTGGGTTGGTTCTAAGGTTCGAGCTTCTGTTAATATAGGGGAAATAAAAAATTACCTATATACTATTTATTTTTTGGGTGGGTGAAAGGTTCGAGCTTCTGATTTAATGATTACCTATACTATTTTTTGGAAGGGTTCCTTATGATAGTTATAGTATACCACGGGCCCCAAAACCCTATTCTAATTATCAAGGCCCCTTCTGGTAACCCTTCACCCTGAATCTCGAATCTAGACTCCGAGCTCCAAAGGGGGGTTGAGAGTATGGTTTCAGTGTTTTGGAGTTGGATCTGGTCTTCCTAACATGCGGTGCAGGGGCGTAATGTAGGGTCCTCAATAACTACCTATACTATTTTGGGGGTTCCTTATTACAACTATAGTATAATATCCCCCCAAACCCTTTTCTAATGATTAAGGCCCCTACATTAGGCTTTGATGGTGAACCTGTTCACCCTCGGTGTGACAAACCAAGTAGCAGTGAGATAGGTGGTTGAATCTTGGACATTAGCAGTTTTTAGATTCGCAGCTAGGAAGTATGCTTACTAGAGAGATTTGTGGCCTCAGGGTTGATGTTGTTCTGGGATTCTGAAACTTGGGTCCAATCATTTCTTCGGTGCTGAGACGTTGGTTCGCTGTTTTCGGGCTAAGGTACTCAGCCCCTAAGCCCTAAGACATCATAAGGGAAAGGCAGGTTTCTTGAAGTCGGTGCGTGTGAAATATCCTACTCCACAGGCTCTACATGGGTTCCGGAGAGGGGGAAAGCATGTACATCGACGCAGACGCAAGTTCACACAAATGTAGAAAGTATACACACGCACATACGTGTTTCAGAATGCAAGTACCATTAACCCTAAACCCTAAACCCTAAAGCCTTAAACCCTAAACACTAAAACCCTCAACCCTAAAGCGAGTACCCGTACCACAGAATCGAAAAAACTTCCGAAGCTTGAACCCTTGGCTCAGCCTTCATGCCGTCGAACTGACGAGGACCCTCCTTGTACCCTTAAGTAGGGCTATATGATGGGCTTAAGGGTTTAGGGTTTGGAGGGTTTATGGTCCCAAATAGCGGGTATATACTAATATACCTGTTCAACGGAGATGTTTCTTTGGATTAGCTGCAAGTACCTAGTTGAACCCGTAAACCGTACACCCTAAACCCCAAACTCAAATCCTAAACCGTTTAGGGTTTAGGGTTTAGGGAGCCTAGTTGTGTAAATACTGAATACTATCGTTGAGCTGGATCCGGCAACCCTGAACGCTAAACCCTCGAGGTTAGGCCGTAAGTCCCTACCCCGAAGCCTCGCGATGGATTTTCAGCCTTTTGTGTCCCTAGAGGTTGGCTTCAGGGTATGGGTTCGGTTCTGTGCTTTCGGGTTCCAAACATATCGTAAGCCATCTGTAGACCTCTACACACCTAGACTCACCTAATATAGGGGCCTTAATAATTAGAATGGGGTTTTGGGGGGCCATTATACTATAATCATAATAAGGAACCCCCCAAAATAGTATAGGTAATTATTTAGGCCGCTACATTAGACTGTGAAACCTAGCATCGTCCCATGGCAATGCCATGTCTGCGAGCGATCTGCAGGCGCGCTCCTGAGCTTTCGGCAGTAGGTCTTGAGGCCCACTCAGCAGTCAAAGCCGTTAAGCTTACAGTTCCTCCTCTATTACCCAAGACTCCTAAATGCCAAACCCGCACACTGTAAGTTCATCCTTGAGATTCATGATTCCGCTTTTGTTAAGGCTTTAGTCGGCGATTTCTGAGGGCCACTGCAAAGTTTCACCTTAGAGGTACTCTTCTTTTTGACACTAGTCACTAGTGCTCGGAGTGCATGGTAGAGCGTGTTTTCCCCGGTTCAGACTTGGCATCTCCTTGTTGCTTAAACCTTTAAACCTTTAAACCCTTAAGCCCGAACCCCCTAACCCCCTAAACCCCTAAACCCCTAAACCCTAAACCCTAACCCCAAAGCAGCCATCATAATGGCACTGGGAGCCTCGATGTACAGCGATGGCTAGGGGCAAGTGGGTTCTGGGAGACGTCGGGGGTGGCCTTTCAGGACTTAGGCTTACACCCACAGGCCCCATACCCTTTAGTTTAAGGAATATACCTTAAATGATATTATTAAGGCCCCTATAATTTAGGGTATATTCCTTAATTTAGGGGTATGGGGCTCTCTGGGTAGTCTCCATTGCAGTTCATTCTTGGGTTACCTTATTGGATCCTAGATACAAAATTTGACTACACCACAAAAAGGAACCACAATGGATCCTAGAGGAACCCAGAGAACCCAATACCCCTCAATTCAGGAAGATACCTTAAAGTTATAGGGGCCTTAATAATATGATTTATATTCCTTAATTAAGGGGTATTGGGCTCTCTGGGAAAGGGCCCATGCATCAGCTGGGCGGGTGTCAGTCGTCCCTTGCAACGCAACCCAGGTCTGGATTTATATCATACTACCAGGGTTTATGGGGTTTAGGGGTTTACGGGTTTCGGTGTTTTGGGTTTTGGGGTTTCGGGGTCTGGGGTTTAGGGGCTTGGGGGCTTTGGCTTCGGGTTTAGGGTTTAGGGGTTTAGGGTTTAAGAGGTTAAGGGTTTATGGTATAGGATACCGATTATGTTTTCATGTTATTGGGTTTGGGTTGCTCACTGCATTGAACTTAGGAAGGATTCTGCTTACTTCGGCAACAAGTGCAAGCAGGCGCCCTTACCACCACCAGGATGACAGGCACAGCAACAGCAACAGCAGCAACACCAGCAGCATCACCAGGCCACCGCCAACAATGCAGCATTAGCAACAGCAGCACCATCACTACCATAAACATTATCAACATTCAAGCCGTTATACAGCGTAACGGGCTTCAGCATCACAACAAAGCAACAAGCCAGCCATAGTTTAGTTTAGTTCAGCAACCCAATACCTGACGACATCAATAACAACCGCTTCCGGCACGTCATACTTAAAGGATCATGGGACTTAGTAAAGTAGGGTTATCACCAAGGTAACTATACTTATAGACCCAATTAGGGGACTTATAACCATACTTACTAAGTCCCATGATCCTCCAAGCACATCCCGAGACAGGAACCACGCTTGAGAGCTCAGAACTTGCGATTGCCAGGTTCAGAACGATCTCGGAGCTACGATTGAAGTTCCTTGGCTGCTGTACAGAATACGGGTTTAGGGTTTAGGGTTTAGGGTCTTTTTAGAAGAGTATCGTATAGTACAAATAATACCTAGGCTAGAGTCGAAAGTATGACTTTTTCATTTTCGATTGGTATCGCATAGGAATACGCAGGATGCATGTGCATCGCAAAGTATGATTTTGTAAGCTAGCCTTCAACAACAGCCCAGATCCTGCTCGACGACAGCCTGCATGTGGTGTATCCAGACAGGACCCTGCAAAAAAGTGCGAGAGAGATCGGAGCCATCCTGTCCGTCACTGCCCGTCTCCGCGATGATCCTAAGATCTGCGGGACCTGTACCGTCGCCTTGCCAGGACCGGGTCCAGAAGTTGTTTACAGGGGGTCATCAGAAGGTTTCTACAAGGCCTTTCAGGTTAAGGAAGATAGTGCGAGGGCCCCGCGCTTGAACTCTGAAAAGGCCACCGTTCGAACAAAAAACAGAACGAAGCGATAGCCAGATATATGATGGAATGTACAGTACATTTATATCATTTTGTTATATCATATTGTATTATAATAAGGACACCAATGAACCTTGAGAAACAAACCTTTAGCCGGCATAGGAGCGATAGGCCAAACTTGAATCCGTAAACCGCAGCTATCATGAATAATTAGTACCAACCCTAAACCCGAAACCCTTCAACCGAAAACCCCTAAACCCTTAAACCCTAAACCCTAGACCATACCTGGACCCCCCAACACTAGGCAGAAGAATCGCCGCTTCTGGGTCTTGGGCCATTTTTGTTTGCCGACTTTGGGGGTTCGGCTAAGGTAGGGGCCTGTGGCCTATGGTATTGTGGTGGTTTAGGGTTTAGGGTTTAGGGTTTATGGAGAGGCTTCCTTATTATAACTAGAATATACTCGGCGCCAAAGTAGGGCCCCTATATTAACCCTCAAGCTGAAATCACTTAGCCATGAACCCCAGGGTTTGAAGGGTTTAGGGGTTTAGGGTATAGGGTTGAGGGTTTAGGGGTTCCCTAAACCCTAAACCCCTAAACCCCTAAACCCTAAACTCCTAAACCCGAAGACCCCAAATCCCAAACCCTCAGCCTTGATCGTTTCGCGGGCCTGTTTGTGGCTGAGGACCTCAGGACCTTAAAGGTCTTAGTTTCGTGTGGTTAGGTTTCGTTAGGGTTTAGGGTTTAGGGGTTTAGGGTTTAGGGTTTGGGTTTCTAAGTGTCGAATAATGGCCCGTTTAAGTGTATTGCGCCATCATTTTACCGACTTTGGGGGGGGTTCGGCTAGCTAGCCTTCAAAGGAGCCGGACTCTTGTCGGCGTCGGAGATCTTCGGCCCCTTTGGTGACCAGGCGAAGGCTTGGCTTCGGCAGGACCAGGAGCACCGCAGGGGCTGGGAGATTTGGTTTAGGGCCCCAGGGCAGCGGAGTTTAGGGCATGAGGCACCCTAAACCCCAAACCCTGGGTTTAGGCTGGAAGGGTAGACGGGTAGACAGCCTGTCCTATCAGAGCTAGAAGATCTATCTCTAAGGCGAGCATCTTTAGACAAGGATGGAAGTTTCTGAAAACATGAGTAAAGTTTACGTCGACTTTGTTCAACCTCACTGTTTTTTTCATGAGGTTTCTGAAAGGTATCATATGGGGGGCCCTGCTAAAACCATATTTGAGTACCTACTTGCTTCGGGGCCCTTATACCAAGGACTCTGCTTCTTGGCCATGTGTGTTGGTCCCCCTATTTTCTCTTACAGGTACTTCTAAACCCTAGACCCCTAAACCCCAAGCTTACAAAGACCTGCAGAGCTTTAGGACCTGATGCAAGAGTGCTGGGGGGTTGTTTTGGAGTCTTTGCCCTTTGCAGAATGTCGGACTTTAGGCATTTGTGGGTTGACTATCGCCTGCTAGTTTCCAGGGCTTCAGGGTTTTTGTAGGTTTCGGGTCTAGTGTTCAGCGCCTTGTAGTTTGAGGACTTCAGGTTTATGGTTTTGGGGTTTATTGTTTAGCGGTATACGCTGATTGTTTTTGTGTTCGGCGTTTTGTGCCTCGTGGCTTAAGTGGCCGCTGATAGGACAAGGTCTCGAAATTCGAATCCTTACTGAAGAAACCCTGTTATAGTATCCTGCGAGTACCTAGTAGCCCCGCCCTAAACTTTGCTTTGAAGCGGCATTTTTGAGCCTTTTCTGGTCCCCAGATGATGGGTTTGGGTGGGGAGCGCTTATTTTCTTGAGGTTTAGGGAGAGTGGGGTTAAGGGTGCTGTATCGTTTATTTGTTTGACTTCGGGTCCAGGGGGATTGGGATTTAGATCGTACTGGTAGTACCTTAGTAACCAGGTTGTTAGTCGACACCCTAACTCCTAAACCCTAAACCATAAACTCTGAACCCTAAACCCTAAACCCTAAACCGTATCATTAGTTGTGGATATGGCGCTGCTCTCGGGCGTTGAGCCCAGTAGAGCAAAAACCCATACTGGCGTCCCGAGCCTACAAACAGCCGCTAACCCTAAGGCTCAACGTAACCCAACCGCCTTTTGTAAGATGGCCTTTGGGCCAAAAAGCCTTTAACTTTGAGTCCTTCGAGGCTTATAATTATAAGCCTAGGGTGACAGACCAGAGGAAGAGGTTCGCGGCGAGACCCGGCGGCGAGAGAAGCGGTTGGCATCAGCGGAGCAGGCTAGAATCAAGGCAATAGCCGAGCTGGAATGTGGTCGTCGCTGCCTTTTTGGTTTCTTCCTGGCTTGGATCAGTGTGGGGCTCGCCGCCGGTATGGCCTTGGGAATATTTGCAATCGTTGACAGCTTGATGTCCCTGGGCTCTGATGCGACGCCCTTATATACCTCGCATCCTTATATCCTCGTCTTGGCCACACCAACTTTTTCTTGTTTCATGATGAGCATCGGATATGTTGCATCACGATTCGTTACGTTATCGCTGTCCGTTGAAGCGGGTTTGCTGGTGTATACAGTAGCCATGATCTGCGTTACGACGATTCTCTGCGGCATGTGGTTGCAATTTGGTGTGGGCGCCCTATGGCTGGAACTTTCGATTTGCAGCATACTCTTCGCCCCAGTTGCTGTCCTTGGCTTTGGGAATCTATATCGCATGTGCTGCCAGAAGGAAGGCTTCAAAGCCGAAGTCAGAGCCGAGTACCTTGATGAGGTTACCATGGCTGAGCAGAGAGCAAAGGAGGCAACGATCCAGTTTGTAGGTCGTGTGCTACCCGGCCGGGGAAGGCCATGTGTCTGCTCGTGGCCCGGGAAGTATCTGGGTCTGGAGTATTATACGTGTGTTCCTTTTTCATGATCAGATTTCCTTAAAAATGGGGGCAGCTTCTGCCGCACGGTTGAGCATCCAGGTATGTATCTGCTTGGGATGAGCTGGTAAAGCGTGGCAGGGATGGACAAACCAGCGCGGCCGTCGTGTTTCTCCCAGAGCAAACTCCGTCGTATGGCCTTCACGACCCGATTCCGGAGAGTGAGGACAAGCTTCAGGGCGAATGTTGGTGCACCCTGCTCTACGGCAAAGAGTTGCTCGGTCATTTCTGCAAATGTTTGTTTATCCGTTGTTTTTTCAAAGTGTAACCCCTAACTAAGCCCCAAAACCTCAGTCTTCTATGCATAAAGGTCTATAATATATATATATATATATATGTCTATATATATTTATGTAAACATACATAAACTTGTTTTGAATGTAACCCCTAAACTCGGCCCCAAACCCTCAAACCTAAACCGGGTGGCCTACCCTAAATCATCGCAGCAAGCCCTCTCCTTGGCCGGAGTTGTCTTTTGAAGCCCCCGTCGCCAGGAGTCCCAGGAGTGAATATAGATTTTTTAGATTATTCGATTGGGGCCGGGGAATTTTCATAATTTAGATATTGGGGAGGGCTCCGGATTCAAATTGCTTATATTATGTAATTCGGAGCGCGAGATAAAGTAGCTTAAACAGTTTCAATTTCAATCATTCGAACATACTGGTGAGGGTGCCCCGGACCCCCTCCCCAGGTTTTCCATTCTGGGCCGGTAGAGGCAGAGAGCTAAATAATTTAGATCCCGGAAGGGCCCCAGGACTTAACTTATTTAAATTAGGGGGGTCGGGCGTACATAAAACCTGGCATTTTTTATGTTGGGGGAGCGCAAAGGTTTACAAAACAAATTGCACTTTCGACATTGATGTTGGAGGAAAACAAGGGTGTTTGTACCTTGCATTTTTTATGCCGAGGAAACGAAAGGTTCTATCTAGACTTGCATTGAACGCGTACGGAGATACATAGCGTGCAGCCACGACACGTTTTGCTTTCTTGGTATACGATGCTGTTGCTAGGGCCCTAAACCCTAAACCCTAAACCAAAACCTCCACAAAAAAACAATGAAAACCCATAGTTCCAGCTAGCTATTGTATCCGGTTTAAGCCGGCCACCCCCCCAACCCCTCAAGGCAAAGCTGCTTGCAATGTAATGTGGAAGCCCGAAGTCAAGAAGTGATCATATCATACCATTTCTAAGAGGTCCCTATTAACCTTCTTAGGGTTTAGGGTTTAGGATTTAGGGGTTTAGGGTTTAGGTCCCTACTAACCTTACTACTAGAATACCTAATCCTAAAATCGAATCCCGCAACCCTACACCCCCGTCCTAAGCCCAAAAACAGACACCGCAACCCTACACCCCCGTCCTAAGCCCAAAAACAGACACCTGGTAGGGTTTGAAGATACTTCCCTAAACCCTAAACCCTAAACCCTAAACCCTAAAACCCTAAACCCTAAACCCTAAACCCTTAGTAGGCAACCCTGGGGGTGCCGATGGTGGTCGCAGTGGATCGCCAACATCGAGGTGGCCGTAAAGGAAGAGGCCGATCTTCAGGCGGGCCAGTTTTGGGGTTTTAGGGCTTAGGGTTTAGGGTTTAGGGTTTAGGGTTGTTTTGGGTTCTGGGGTTTTCTGGTTCGAGCATGAGGGTTTTGGGTTTAAGGTTCGGGGTTTAGGGTTTGGGGTTTAGGCTTTGAGTTTACCAGCTGATTCTGCAAGTTTTAGATTGACGCTGGGGTTGCTATGTCCTGGCCTGCTTTGTATATGGGACTTGCTGGAGTCTCTGCAAAGGCAAGCGTTCAGAGTTCGCTTGGCTCATGTTGTGGGTCTTGATGGACCCCGCAGAACATGAAAAGTGCGTTTATCGTTCAGCTTTTAAGGGGAGTTTGGTTGGAGCTCCGCAAGAGGTCTAGGGTCATCTGAGATACGGTTTATAGGGGTATCGAGTAATGGGGTTCAGTGGTTTGGGATTCAACAGAGTCGATTTTGTAGTTCTTGTGGCAGTGAATATAGAGGTCTGATTGTTTACAACCCTCACATTTTGATATCATAGTCCACAATACGTTCATTTATTGTAGCAGTGAATGGAACAATTCCTTGAAGCATCCCAGGTGTACTTCTTCCAGCATCTGGGACGATTTCGAAAGGTTTTGCAACTCACTTGTCGCTAGTTTTTTGACTGGTGTGCAGGACAGGGGTTTATGGCCAACCACCGAAAGGCTTGGCAGTTGTAAAAAATGGTTGGCAGTATGGTAGAGGTGCCGCCGAACTTCAGCGGGCCCAATCCATGTAGTTGCACTATCAAGCCTCAGTGCACTGGACCGGAAACCTCAACTTCTGGAAGACCGTTCGTTGTTTCAAGCAGCAAAAGCAGCAGTCGCAGCAATAGCAACAATAGTAACACCGAGACATCAACCATTGGTGCCTAAACCCTAAACAGCTCTTGAACGCACAAGCCGAGGCATCATCGTGGGCAAGGCAAAGTGAAAGGCTTCGACAGGGCTGGCCAGGACCCCGAACTTAGGCTACAAGCCTCAGCGTTAAGCCGAAAGCTTAGCGCTTAGAGAGTTTACTGAACCCTAAGCCCGAGGTTTTGCCGATCATAGGATTGAGGGTAGGACTTGAGATCTGGGGCTGACGCTTGAGGGATACATGTTCAATAAGCGCCACCGCAGCTTGCCTAGACCCTCAACCCTGGACCTTGAACCACCAGATCCCACATTGTCTTTTCAACGTCCTGAGGTTCGTTGGAGGCAGCTGAGCCTCTATGTTCGAGCCCCGAAACCCCAAACAAAACCAACCCGAAGTCCCTAAACCCAGCACCCCTTCAGGAATTATTTTGGGAGCCTTGTTTGGGACCCCTGCTAGGAGCCCTTGCAGGAGCCAAATTTAGACACTCTCGGACTTTTTAAGCCCTGAAGGAGTACCAGCGCCGCGATGAGATTCAAGCGCGGAGGGTGGACTTCAGGGCGACCATGGGTTTCGAAGCTGCCCTGGCTGCGGGTCTCGACGGCTTGCCAAAGGAGGCTCATTGAGGGTTGTGGGCTTTCTGGTGCAGAGTATGGGTATAGGATGTATGGGTGTAAGGTGTCGGGGTAGGGGGCTTGAGTTTACAGTTCAGGGCTCGGGCTTGAGGCCATGAGGGCTCAATGGTTTTGATGGTTGATTGCTTTAGGGTTCAGGCATTGGCATTCAGGCGGTTTCCGACAAGGGGTTAAAGTGTAGCGCTTCTGGGCTTAATACTTTAGGCTTCCTTCGGAACCTGACTTGCCAGAACCGTCGCACGCCTGACTGTGAGCACCAATGCAAAGCATGGCGACCTAGCAACGAGTCAGTATTTTTTCTTGCAGCGAGAGCTGTAATACATGTGGTTAGAAATAGGAGCTTGAATTAACAATGCACAGCTAACCCTGAAGTATGCAACCTACGTGCAACACCAACTCCAGTGCCAAGCCTGATGCACAGTTAGTTCCTGCAAGCACCAGCACCACCAGCACCACCACTAGCAGCAGCAGCAGCAGCAGCAGCACCACCACCACCACCACCACCACCACCACCACCACCACCACCACCACCACCACCACCAAGAGCACCACCACCACAAGCACCACCACCAGCACCACCACCACCACCACCACCACCACCACCACCACCACCACCACCACCACCAAGAGCACCACCACCACCAGCACCAGCACCAGCAGCACCACCATCACCAGCACCAGCACCAGCACCAGCACCGCCACCACCACCACCACCACCAGCACTACCACCACCAGAACCACCATAACCACCACCACCACGACGAGGACTCCTCCTCCTCAACCCTACTCCCACTCCTCCTCCTCCTCCTCCGGCTACAACTAGCCACGACGGCGACGACGACTACTACCAGGACTTCTACTGCCACTACTGCTACCACTACTCCTGCTGCTACTGCGGATGCTGCTGCTACTACTAGACTGCTAAGCTATCACACTCCGTCATACGATGCCTGCCACGGCTACTCCCACCACGTTCTTTTACTTTTCATCACTACAATGAACTACTGCCGTTAGTCCAGCACAAACACCAACAACACCACTCAAGAAGCCACTGCCACAACCATCGGTACTGTTACTTCCTTGACGTCTCATAACCGACGCTTAGCGGTCCAGGTTCGTGCAGATGGTTCCTCTGCTTATAGCCGCGAAGTGGATCGGCTATTTCTCGCTTGGCTTCCGGCCGAGGACCCTGTCTCTAAGCTTAGTAATGTAGGGGCCTAAGTAATTACCTATACTATTTTGGGGGGTTCCTTATTATGATTATCGTATAATGGTCCCCAACACCCTATTATTCTAATTATATAACAGGCCCCTATATTATCCCAATCTCATCTGAGAATGTCAGGGTGTCACACAGCTCTGCATTGAGATGCGAAAAATTCGAGGTCATTCCATTCTACCACCTGCGAACACGCACAAAACCCTTTCGCACTCCTTTAAAACCCTAGAGCTCTACGCCCGAAGACTCTGAACCTGTAAAACATAAGTTCTAAAAATTAAGCCCGGCATCCGAGAGCCCCTAAGCCGAAGATGTGCAGGATGCGGAGTTTCTGCGAGCTTCCGAGGGGCTGGGCAACTCGCAGAAAGCCGAAGTTGCATGGCTGGATCTCAAGGGCTACCGGTACACCGAAGTCGAGGTGAGGGTTTCGGGTCTAGGGTTTAGGGTTTACGGAGGGAGTAGTGTTGGGTTCAGCGCCCCCTTGAACTTGCCATTTCAAGGACTGATATAAAGATATCAGAATATGGGACCCAGAAGACTAGATCTCTCAGCGTCCAGGTATGTTTCTAGAAGATTGCTTGCCTGGACTTTCTCAACCACGCACTCTCTATCGGCGCCGATGCTTTGGGTGCGTAGCGAAAGTACATCATCAATGGTCACAAGGAATCTAGGGTTTAGGCTTCCGAAGCCTTAACCCCCAGCCCTGTGCACGTGACGCTAACGAAATTCCTCACAAGCCCTACACACACACACACACACACACCCTAAACCCTAAACCCTAAACCCTAAACCCTAAACCCTAAACCCTGAACCCTAATCCCTAAACCCTAAACCCTACACACACACACACACCTCAGACACTACGGCAACATCTCTACCTCAAGTGAAGGCCCCCGTCAGCCCTCAGCCTTAATATGATCCTCAATTTGCTGAAAACCCTACAGACCCTGATACAATCCTTGATCAGGTCCCTAGACCCCACATGTCCTAATAGAATCCCTACCCTAAGCCCCTAATCACAAACCCCAAATCCCAAACCCTAAACCCTAAACCCCCTAACCAGGTGGAAGCCTCTGAGTGGTTAGCTGTGGAGGATGCATCCACTACGCCGTCGCCCTCGCCCAAGGCGGAGGGAAGACGCGTGGCGCCCGCGCCAGACGCGCATGGCGATCCCTGAGCCCAGAACCTCCGAAAACCTACAAATAGGGCTTGGGGTTAGCTGGGAATATAAAGTTCAGCAAACCATGTAGAACTCATGAAAACCCCGATTAAAGATCCGACATCGCCCGACAGAGGCACTTAAAAATCATAAATATGCTGGGTAAAGCATTTACAAGAAAGGAAGCCCCGAAAGCTAAAGCAAGGTTTGACGCTGTCGATGACCTTTCAGCCTGCACATAGGATACAGGACATTGGAGTGACAAGCATTGGGGTGTTGAGGGTTTGGAGTTTTAGTCTTAGTGGTTTGTGTGCTTGAGGGTTGCAGCGTTTAAGTTAAGAGTTTAGTCTGTTGATGTGTGTGGCTTTTGGATCAAGAGCTACGCCGGACCTTGCTAAGAGTTAGCCCAATGCAAACCTTAAGCCTCAACCTGCAACTCCAGAACTGTGCTCAGAAACCGTCGCCTCACAAGTGGGCAGAAGCAAATGCCCCAGCTGCCAGACTACCAGTTATTTTTTGAAATGCCGAAGTTGCATTCAGCTGTCCCTGGTGCCGCACTGGGCTATTTTGGGCAAAGGTCTCATGACACGTCCACATGCAGGCTCTCTGCAAAAGCGCCGGGTGCCCACCTCATATATGCCAGGGACATCATGCTCGTCGTTACGTTAGTAGCTTCCCGTGTATAGTTCCGGGTGAAACCCTCTGTTGACTACTACTGCAATACCTCAGAACAGCCTTACGTAATCCTGGAAGAAGCCCTTACAGAGCCGAAACAATCACATTAGGGAAGGCCCTAAGCCGCAAACACCAACCCACTAACCCAATAAACCTGCACCCTAAACCCTGAACCCTCCCAAACTATCCTAAACTTGCCCTAAACCCAAAATACCAAGGCGCCGAAGACAACCTCCGAGCTGCCATGCCATCTGCTACGGACCCTTGAGGCGACACCCAAAGGGTCCTAGGTACTGTTAAGGGGGGCTTTAGGGTTTAGGGTTTAGGGTGTAGGGGAAAACTGAAGACTGTAATCAAGACGGACCCCAAACCATAGAACCCTGAAGAGAAGGAGCCTTTCAGCCCCCTCTTCAAGGTTTCGCATGATCAACAAAGGTTCTATGTGAACGACCCGTAACACAGATCCAGAAGAGCCCCTAAAGTAGCCAGGAAGTCTTCAGGCCCCCGGAAGGGATCCCTCATATGAACAGGGTTCAGGGTTTAGAGTTTTAGGGTTTTAGGGTTTTAGGGTTTAGGGCTTTAGGGTTTTGGGTTTCTGGGTCCCTAATATTAAAATTTAAAAACCCTGCACCCTCGAAGGTCTTTCCAAGCACCTCGATCGATGGCACTGCGCCGAGTGAAGCACCCTGCACGGAGGTGCAAACCGGGCTGCTCGATATGTAGTTGCTAGGATATTATTTCCGGGTTCAGAGCATAGCGAACACAAGCTAGTGTTTTATAAAACACTAGCAGATTTAGAGCATAAAGAACACAAGCGCCATGACTCAAGTAGTGACTAAGCCCTAAACCCTAAACCCTAAACCCTAAGCCCTAAACCCTAAACCCTAAATTAGCCCAAAGCCACAAACTGTAGGCCACCATGCGCTTTCGGTCAGGATGGCCCTGGAGATACAGGGCCAGAGGGCCTGCACTTCTTCTGAGGGGGGTGGGGGGGTTTAGGGTTTAGGGTTTAGGGTTTAGGGGGTTCAAGGCTGTCGGGTTGAAAGGTTAGCAGCAGTGGTTGTCGTCGTTCTTGGTGTCGCTGTTGGCAGCGTCGTGGTCGTAGACAGTTCAGTAGTACGCATGTAGTGTGGTGGACACTGCTTAGTCTCGGGCCGTGAACACGTGGAAACCAAATTGGTCAAGCGACATCGGAGGCGATCCGGTCACGACTGTCTCTGGATCCGGAGAGTTCGGTGGAGGAGGAGGCCCCAGAATGTTCCCGAACTCCTTTGTAGGCTGATGTTCATAAGGCTTTTGAAGAGCTGTGGGTCGTAGAGCTGTTTTTTGGGTCATGGGTTTTGCAGTGTAGTCTTTTCTTGCGTATTTCGGTTTGGCGGTTTCTTGGCAGCTTTTGAGATACAGGGAAGTGCGCTAAGTTGAGCATAAGTGGAGCCAAGGGAACGCGAGCTAGAACGCAGGAAGCTACAGGCTACGGAAGCGGGCAGGAGTGATGGAATGTTGATGATGGATGAAGGTGTTCAGATTTTCGGGCTTTGAGGTTCTCGCAAAGGGCCGGAGAGACGGGCATCAGAAGCCTTAAACCCTAAGCCCCAGTACGCCCGAAGCCTTAGGCCCTAAACCTTGAACCCTAAGCCCAAAACCGTAGGCCCTAAACCCCAAACTGAGGGTTTCGGGCCGTTAAGGCCTACGAGCTGACAAAAGGTGTTGGATTTTGGGTCTCAGATTCGTCGGGTTTAGGGTTTAGGGTCTCAGGTTTATAGGCTTTGGGGTTTTCGGGTTAGGGTTTAGGGTCTCAGGTTTATAGGCTTTGGGGTTTTAGGGTTTAGGGTTTAGGGTATTGGGTTTATAGAGTTTCGGGCAGACCCGACCTAAATCAAGGAGGCGACACGCAAGTATCGACGTTCAGAGTGTAGGGGTTTGGCCCCTTGGGAATATTACGACATGGGCCGCTGAAAAGAAATTAACCTTAAACCCTAAACCCTAAAGCCTAAAGCGTAAACCCTAAACCCTAAACCCCTAATCCAAAAGCCGGGCTTCGGAGTTGTCTGTGGATTGATGCCATCCACCATATCTCGAACCTGAAGCTCTCCCTAATTTACGAGCCTGATTCTAAAGATTGTCTTCTTAGGGCTCCTTATTTATCATAATTATACTATGACATCATCACGCGCCGACCCGCACTGTGATTTGAGAGGCATATATCACTGCCTTGCACCCTGAGTTTGAAGCTAATGAGAGCCCTGTCACACCGAGAATGTCGTGGTCAGGAAGAGAACGCCTCCTGGCATGTCGATGTGATCCTTGGCGAGGAGAGCGACAAGCGCCTTGGCCGGCAAGTAGTGAAACGGGCCAAGGGGCTCTTAAAATTTTGGGTGACGGATTTAGGGGTTTAGCGGCTTAGGGTTGAGGCCAAGTGTTGATTGATAGGGCTGCCATTGACCAGATTGGGGCTTCAGTGCTTGTAAGCCTGCCCAAAACTTAACCTGATTACTACGTCCTTGATCTGTGAAGCGGACCTTGCGTTAAACTTTCCAGATTGCTTCACACAGGTTTTAAACCGCACGTTCTGATCCCCTGAACTCGAAAGCTAACACCCATAACACCTGAAACCCAAACCGTATAATCTCAATCCTAAAGCTATCCTAATATAGTACCCTAAATAGTAGGATCCTTATCAGAAGGACCCCAAATAAGGTGCCGCAATCACAACTCCCAAGCCCATAGCTCTGACAGATTTCGGGGGGTCTGGTTGGGAAGATGTGAAATTCGTTCGACGGCTTTAGGAGGGTCTGTGCTCGTGGTTTCTGCTGCTTGATCCTAAACCCTAAACCCTAAACCCCTAAACGCTAATGAGTCTAGACTGCACAGCGTAAACCCCGAAACCGAAACGCATCAATAAGCGCTGAAAGCTGTGAGACGGATCACCAGAGGCCTCAACACCCCACACCTGAACCCCTAAACCCCATCCGGGCACTGTGTGGCATCGGTGCCTCCTCGAAGCCGGGAGAAGAAATAAGTTACCCTTCAATGGACTTGGTTTCGGGCTGGGCCTGAAAAGGCCCGAAGCCCTATTTATAAAGCTTATGTTAGGATTTGTGGTTTTGGGTTTAGGCCTTAACCCTGCCTAGACCCAAACCAGGTGCCACATTTTGGCATTCGGAGTGTTCGTATTCTCGCTCCTGGGATCTGAAACGATGTATCTACGAAGCTGATTGATATGGGGCCGACCACGTATGACCCTTTGGCCCCGGGTTTTCAAAACACTCTTCTCGATAAGCGCTCTGTACCAAAACCATCCTTAGCCAATCTTTTCCATGTTTAAATCCTACATTTTAAACCCAAAACCGATGTACTCTGCGAGCTCAGGCATTGGCGCATTCCATGCCCCCGAGGTTACCGGGGGACTGGGAGTAGCGAACAAAGCTTTTGGGTTCAGTGTTTAGGGGGTTAGGGTTTATAAAGGGTTCAGGGTTAAGGTTTAGGGTTTAGGAGTTTAGGGTTAAGGGGGTTAGGGTTTATAATTTATAAAGGGTTCAGGATTAAGGCTTAGGGTTTAGGGTCTAGGGGGTCAGGGTTTAGGGGTTTAGGGCTTTGGGTTCGGGGTTTCGGGTTAAGGGTTTTTGGGTTTGGGGTTACGGCATAGGGTGCCTATAGCGTCTACCGATTTTGTCGATGCAGAGGTTTTAAGCACCTCAAACACGTTTGCTGATACATGCCATGCGTGTGTAAGAATAATGTATCCCTTCGCACTTTCTGAGCGTTCTCTCGACATCCTGAAAGAAAGGGCGTGCTGTCCAGCAAGCCTTCCGATCCGTCTTGGCTTGCTCATTCGGCTTGTTGGTGATTGTATATCATTGTTGTTCACATAAGCACCGGTAACCCGTGGGCCCATAAGCTGTACGACGCGACCCTTGCCGACATGCTTATAATGCTTTGTACTCAGTTTCCCACAGACTCCAATATTCCTTAATTAAGGAATATTCCTTAAATTACAGTAGGATCCTTAACATGATTTAAGGTATATTCCTTAATTAAGGGATAGTGGAGGCTCTGGGTTCTTCTGCCCCACACATGAGCATGAGCTTCAACCACATGGACACTTGAAGATTGCAGCCTCTTAATCTAAGCTTTCATTCAAACCCCGCAGAAGCCCCAATCCCCAAAAACCTGGACACAGGATCCCAAACTTAGCCTTGTAGTCCCTACTCGAAGGATCCGGAGACTTAGCGAGGAGGTTTATGATGAGTTTTTTTCATAGGGGGTCAGAAGTAAATCTGGCTTTGGTTACCAGGTTCTGACCCTACTTACTCCGAGCTCCGAGCTCTGATGCTCTATTCCTA